TGGTATTCCACGGGGACTTAAAAGGGAAAAAACTTTTTTAATATCATACGGCTAGAACTTTCATTTCAAGGCCCTTTCCCTTTAAATCGTACATTGGACCTCATCCAGGGACACCAGATATAGTACTGACAAACAGAGACTGTGACATCTTTCACTGTCGTATATCTCCTGGTGGAAATGTAGGATCTGACCACATCCCTGTTATAATACAACTACAAACTTCTCCATTTAGAATACCTGTACCTCCTAAACCCAATCTTAACACCCTAGGCTTTGACCCCTTCAGGGCATTTCTGGGTGACGATGAAATTGTGTCATTGGAAAATCTACCTTCCACTGCAATTGATGATGCAATCAGGTCCCTGCATAATCGAGTAATTGAAGCTACTAATGCATCTTGTCAATTAGCTTCCACAAAGATTTACCAACAATATAAACCTACTAGGGAAATTAGAGACAATTTAAGAAAATTAAATCAAGCAGAATGTCGAAGGCATCTTCAAATGCGACAACCACCAGCAGCTACACTGCACCGATTAAGGCAAGAATTAATTAACATGATTAGTCATCACAAACGGGACTTATGGAAATTGCTAGTTCTTCCAAGCTAATCAGTACAACGTGAACCAGAAAAAATTTTGGAGTAAGATCCGACAACTTTTAGGGCAAAGCACAAGGCTCCTAACTTACCTAGTTCATACCTTCACTGATGAGGATGATGAAGATGTTGAAATTAAACTTAAACCGATCCACAGGACCAGGCTAATTTGATGGGTGATGTATGGGAGAAAATTCTCTCCCACAATAACAGTCGTCAATTTAACAATAATCATTATCAGTTGGTAAATGAATGGAGAGATAAAGGAACTTGGATGTTTCAACAACCACTACCTTCCATCGATACTTCAAACTCTTGAAGATACCCACCCGCTTTACTAGACCTATTACATTACTAGAGATGAGTCCAGGTTTTTGGGAAAAGAAAGCGCAATAGAGCCCCTGGCCTCTCTGGAATAACAATGAAACAAATAAAGTTCCTCCCCAGAAATTGTAAAACAGTTTTTGGGTTTAAATATCTTTAATGCCATCTTGGCCTCAGGACATTTTCCAGGGGTTTATTAAGACTGCTAGGATGATCTTTCTTGGTAAGCCCAATAAAGACATTCACCAACCTGGGAACTATAGACCTATATCTTTACTTGAAGTCACTGGAAAAGTTCTTGAGAAGGTCATTTCCAAAAGATTGAACTACTATATGGAGTTTAATCACTTTTTACTGAAAAACAATTTGGCTTTAGAACACATAGAAGTACCAATCATGCAATAAATGTTATTTTCGATACTGTAGCAAAGTCTAAAAAAAATCGGGGGAATCTTGCCTTAATTGCCACCAGGAGAGTTCAAAAGCTTTTTGATAGCTTATGGCATGATGGCCTTATATACAAACTCATTGACCTACCAGACCATAACTGGACTTTCCTCAGAGTAATATATAATTTCTTAACTCAAAAATCATTCCCACCTTTCATGGCAGGTCGACAGAGCCTTTTATACCGACGGCTGGTGTCCCACAAGGTTCTTGTCTCAGTCCACTTCTGTTCAACATTATGTAATGCCCTTCCTCAACCAGAGTTTAGTGATACGATTGTGACACAGTTTGCAGATGATGTTATTCATGTCGTCTCATCAACTCCGGTAACAGGAAAATACAAGTATGAGAGAGTCATATAAAAAATGAATATTGAACTTAAACGTACATCTTTTTGGGGAAAAGAAGGGGAGAATTACGACTAATCCTTACAAGGTCCTTGTTAGCACGATAGGAATGTTTTGCATCAACAATTGAAGATAAAGGAGGTATCTCCATCAGAGGTAAAACCTGTAGCCATTAGAAACCCTAACAAGATTTTGGGTTTACGAAATAGACAGGCTGCTCTACTCAACATCTCATGTAACTAAAAGATCAACATAGCCAAAGCCGGTCTTAGCAGTCTCTTTTGATTCAATTCAGCCCCTAAACATGTCAAAAAACATCTGTATAAAATGTTAATAAGACCAATACTCGAATACCCTTGTGTCCCAATGTCATTAACAACAAAGACCAACAGCTACGGTTACAAAGGGTCCAGAATAGAGCTTTTTCGCTTCATTACCGATACCAGGAGGAGAGACAGAGTAAAATAGCAGATTTACACATACAACAAAAATATTACTGCCATAAATGTACGCCTTGACACCCTAAAAAAGAAACAACTCATACAATCAAGAACTATACATGCCAGATAGAGAACATCCTATACATAGAAGGGTTCTGGTATTACCCAAACATCTTCATCTTCAGGGAGGTTGCTCAATATCATTGGTCGATGGAAATTTCATCTTTATGGATAAAACGACGACCCTCTGTGGAGAGTCATTCTGACAGACAGAACCACCACCCCCGCCGTGGAGAGAAGACGTCGTGGGGTTCCTGCTCTGGGAGCTGACAACTCTGAACACTGTTACTCGAGTTTTTCTTGGGTTACCTGAGTTGTTCTTGACCACAGCTGAGAGGAAACTTGATTCAGTCACTTCGAGCCCCATCCATCAAGAGGTAAGGCGGTGACTTGCTTGTTCACCCCTCTTTTCCCCATCCCCCACCTTCCCCTTCCCTCCCCTCACCCAGACAACTACACTGGCCCACACACTACATACATTGCTATCCTTCTGACTTTCCTATCTTCTTTTTCGGCAACTTCGCTTTGGCGAGTTAACCAAGGCATTTTGACCATCCGGTTAGCCCGTGTGGTTTTTTTTAAAATCCGCCGATCTTTGCCTTGGACCCTTTCCCCCTCACCACTCGAGGGTAGGCTATATTAGGGGCTGACCTTCATAATCAACTGAAATAGGATGCTAGACTAACACTAAGGAAAGACCCTTTTTTGTTAAAGTAATTTCTCTGCCAATGTACCTTTCCTAGACATCATGGCCAGGATAAGACTAAAAATTACGTGTTGATGGCAACCAAAAGACGATGAAAGAAATTCTAGCAAGTATTTGCTCGAATTCAACTGTTGCTCCAGTGGATTTTTTTCAAACCCACGCTGGAGCAGTACTTCTCCTCTCTTCTGAAGAAGAGTTACTTCAACTGCTGAAGCATGATGTTCTGGAAAAATTGAAGACTTTTGGGGTTACCCCAGTTGCACCCAAAGGCTATCAAGCCCAGAGAACTGTGTTTGTTGCCAGAATTAACAGTTTTAAGCGACATAGCACAGCGAATGAAATTGTCGAAGACTTTAATACGGAGAATTCTGAATTTAGGGCTGTCGAAGCACATAAATTCTCTTAAACCTAACAACAACCAGGTAACCTTTAAAATTAATACTTAGACCCCCTGAAAGGCCAAACTTGTGTCAAAATGGCTTCAAATGTTTTGGGCACAAGATGTACACCTGAAACCCAAAACTCTTGAACGATTTGTCAGTGTGACACAATGTTTAAATGTTATGCCCTTTTGGGCATACCACCAACAAATGCAGTACTCAAGCAAAGATTTGCAGCATTTGCTCTGGCCAACATTCTTATTTGAGATTGTACCAATAAAAAATACCCCAAATTGTCCTTGCAATTGGAAAACACCATGCTGGTTTCTGCTATCTGTCCTGAGAGGAAAAAGGAAATGCAAAAATTATACAAGCTAAGAAACTGTCCCCCTTCTAAGAAGACCACTTCCCCAGGCACCGCCAACAATGTCCCAAACTTCCTTCCCAGCTCTGCCTGGATCTAGTGGGACTCCTCAGGGTTCTACCAAATGATTCCAATGTTTGGAATTCTGCCCCTCTTTGGGGTGCCCCAATCAACCCTCACCTACAACATACACAAACGCAACAACAAGGTTCAACCTCACCTCCCATGTCTCAGGTATCCTCAGCCGGGGATATAACAAGAGCGCAACTAATGTATATGATGGCCAAAGACATTGCAGGTGGGACATTCAACTCTGCTCTAAGGTTTTTTAAAAGATTTGTTAATGGCTAATGGATCACTCCCCCTCACTACCCCAGAAAATGTGAAAATTATTATGGCCCAGCCTCCCATAACAAGAAGTATGTACCCAAATCTACATCTACAAAAAGCCTAAGTCATCCCTGGTCCAGGGATCCCCCCCACCTCCATACTCAGGTTTCAACTACCCTCAACCCGATGATTTAATACCTTTACCATAACGATGCCCAGTGATTGGTGCTTACTCTCCCGCTATTGAAGCTGATTCTGTTGAACAGGAACTTTCTCAGGGTAATTCACCTTGCCTAACCAAATTTTCCCTTGGACCTCCACAGTCTCCCTTTAACTCTCACGAACCTCTGCTTCCTGTAACTGGGAATATCATACCTCAGTTTTCTGATGATGACTCTAATGATTCTGTTAATATTACCAATTCTAGTGAAGATGAAGACACTTTAATACACACAACTACCAGAACTTCCTTC